ATGCAGAGCATGAACACGGTGTACGGGATAAGCGGAAACACAAGAGACACCACAAGAAGAACAAGAAGAGAAGCCATAAGAAAGAAGGAGAGCACTGATGAAGTTTGTGAGCTAGTCTTGTTGTTGATGAAAAATAAATTCTAGTCCTTTCACCTTGTTTCGATTTCGTCTAACTGACTGACTAGTGGACATTGATCGATATGTAGACGAGTTAACTTACTTGTGTTCAGCAACTGGTAGAGACGGAAATTCACGTCTCAGCGACGCATGTGTTGCTAGATCGTTTCCGACTTCCTTCCCCACACAGATATGACTCTAAACTGTTATCGAATGAAGTTTGTTGTCGATTTCCTATATGCAGATGTGACGACTCTTTATTCATCGAGCAGATAATGTTTCATTTGCTAGCAAGGGACAAAAAGGCTTAAGTGAACTAGGCAATACGTTTCTCACGCATGGGACTTAGAGGTGCACGAGCAATGCGATAAATCCTCTCCCCATGATCTGATAGTTATCTTATTCGTAATATGTTTGCCAGTTTGTCCCACTCACGTTGCTGAGTTCGTCGTATTTGTTTTGTTCTGTGGACCTTGTATTTTGACCATCGACTGGTGGTTATGTTAGTCAACGTATAGTGTCTGGTGCGTTTTGTCCAGTTGCTCTCGCATGCAGCGCTATCCATGTTACTATCTGATGCCCTAATATTCTCCTGTAAACCTCAGATAGCAATCAACATCCTGGTTTCTACTATATTCCAACCCTTATCAAAGTTTGTGTACCTGTCTTCTAAATTTCGTGCATGTGAAATCCATGCATCTATGCACCTTAATCCATATGATAATGGTATATTCCTGCATATCTGTCGTGAAACGAAGTCGTATGCTAGATAGTAGGAGAATCATCATGCTTAAGAATTTGTGTGTTCCGCTTTATTGGTGGGATTCTCAAGGTCCCACATAAGATGCATTGATCGCTGTGTCTCCTGTTCATTCTCGTTTTGGTCATTGGATTGATGTGATTCTGCTAGTTTGGTGATAGGCATCGACATATTAGGCGGTAGACTATAATCAATCGACGGGAAAATCAAAAATTCAATTCAGTAGACTATAATGTTTCCCTTATTAGTCCCCCTGATATCTCACCCTCTATTCCTCATGTCCATGTATACTGTGCACTGGACGAAGGCATGATCTTGACAAGTGTTTTACTTCAATGGTAGTCTTTCGTTGCGAGTCTCATAGGATGATCTCAATATATGTCACGCGAAAACGTTGACTTGACTAAACCTGTGCATTGGTTGATGAATATAGAAATGTAGTTCAGTATGACTGCTCGGAAATGGATTCTCAGTTGGATTTAGAACATTAGGAGTGAACATCCGGATGGACAGGTGTGATCAGTTATCTGGTGTTCTAGTAGATATATCCATCGGCTGGTACAAAGTTATGTGTCTTAGACAATGTGTCTGTAGTCTGTAGTGTTATAATCCTGTGTAGGTTTTCCAACGAATTGGTCATTAACTCACACCATTCACTTTTAATCTTTTAGGCTATTTTTAATTATATTTTTATTGCCTTTAATTCCTACAGGATCATAGTGCTTCAGCTGAGAGTTTGCATTTTGTTCGGTTCTCTTCCCAGGATTTCACCCCGCTCCTAATCTGCCAACATTCTTTCATATCCTTTTCTTATGGCTTCTGCGAATTTACCCTTGGACGACCACCTCGCTGCTTCCGTTTCGGGTTCCACTCGAGCAATGGCTTTTCTAGTGATGTCACTTGATGGTTTCCTCAGTGTATGGCCGGCCAATCCATCTCCATTTCTTCCTGCTTATTTTTTGCACAATCAGTTCCCGGTTGGTTCGCTCCCGAGGATCCGTGTTGCTGATCTTTACTAGTCATCTGATCTTGAGTATTGAGCAAAGACAACTGTTAATGAAGGTTTGTAGTTTGTTTGAGATGTTCTTTATGACGCGCCAAGTCTCTGATACGTATAGTAGTACTGACTGACTTCACATTGGAGTTGAAAATCCGGGTCTTATTTTTGATGGTGAGTGCTGTTGCCCTCCACACAGACTTGAGAGTAATGAAAGCTTGTCTTGCTTTTCCGATTCTGGCTTTGATATCCTCGTCAGTTCCGTTAGCCTGTAGTTGAAATGATGCTTCCCAGGTAGGTGAAGGAGGTAGTTTCTTTCAGTTTCCTCCCATTTATGCTGGCTGATTGTTGTCTGTTGTTGTTGTCGCTGTTGGCCAGGAATCTTCATCACCTAACTCTGTTTTATCTTTGTTCACCTGAAGTCCTATCTTTGATGCTTCTTCTGACAACTTGTTACTTTTCACTTGCATATCTTCCAGTGTGTGGGAAATCAGATATATATCATCGGTGGAGTCCAGATTATTCAAATTTTTCGTGTGAGTCCATTTTATGCCTGTTTTCTCATTGCCCTCTGTTCGTCGCATTATCTAATTTACTGCAATCAGGAAGATCATTGGCGATAGAAGACAGCCTTGCCTCATTCCGTCCTCACTTCGAAGGCTTCCGCAAGTTTCCCGTTGTGTATTACTTGGCATGCAGCATTGCTGTACAACTGTTGGATGAGATGTATAATTGTCGGTGGCACCCCGTAGTAGCGACGTAGTTGCAAAATCACCTCCCGATGGACGTTGTCGAATGCACTCTTTTAGACTGTTCACTTTTAATATAACTTTAATATCTCTTGTTGATGAACGATAGAAACAGCGATTACAAATTGTTTTGATTATCTGGAACACACTTATATCTCCAGATTGATAATGATGGAATCGCTGGTGACTGGTCGTTAAATGAAAACATGTGTTGTAGTACGTTGTGAACCGGTCTGGAATTCGACTAGCACAGCCATGAGACCCAAGTGCTCTTCTCATCTTCATGATTTGACTGCTGCTATCACACTCAGCTTTTTATTTCACTTTCAATCATTATTCATTGAATCGATGAAACTCTGTCCATTCATGCCTATCTCACATTTTGCCACCAGGTAAACAGCCAGTTGTTAGTATTTTGTCCTAGTCCTTCATGTCACTGATACTTGATATCTTGAACGGTCACATTGTCAATATCTATCTCAGTTGATTTCAGCTTCATCTCGCAACCTACTCTTCCCCGCTTTTTCCTAATGGCTTTACAAGTCCACAGAGATCCTAGGAAGTCACCTAATGGAATGATGAATAAATATCTTCAACCTTTTACGAGTCCTTATGATAAATTTGAAACAAGCATGATGACATCGGTTAAGTGACTGAGTGTTTCTCAGATGGCTGTGTTGGCTGCTATTTGTGTATGTAAATCTAATGTGCATTTGCTTGAGGACGAATGATGCATTTAATAAAGGTGAAACCAACCAGTTCAGACAATGACTTGATGTTATGGCAGGATATTTACCTGTGTATGAAATCTCTTGCTTGAGGACCAATGGAAATTCAATTGAAATCTGATCCACACACGCATATACATCCCCGAGGAAGTAGCGCTAGTCACTGGTGAACTCATTTCACATGGTTTTATACAAGTGGTCTTATATCAGTGCTCCAAATATGTTTGCCAGTATCTGGTTTTGGTGTTTTCACTTCTGAAGCTAAAATGTGTAGTGGCAGACTGCAACAATTCGGACATGTCCACTCCTGCTTACGAAGCTAATGCTAAATGGCTCACAGTCATCCTTGTGCCCGTCGGAAATAATCTCAATCATCGTGTTGTTGTAGATTCACTGGGATCTGCCAATTTTTGGTAGTAGTGTGAATGGGCCCGGGTGGAGAATGATGTTTGCATGATGTTAACTCCCTCTCCTCACCAATGTATCTCCCACTGGAACTACCTCCCTAGTACTTGAATTCATCGAGAATAACATATTGGACGTGAGTGTTCCGATCATGTCCTTCAAAGGAGCACTATTGAGGTGCAACGTTTACGTCCAGTGGAAAATCAATGACAAACTGTGTAGAGATAAATACGGAATGGTATCTGGGTTGCCTGAATTTAGTTTGCTTGCGGATTGCCTCATTACGAACCCAGAAATTATCGATTTATTACGACCTGCTATTTCAAAGTTTCTATATTCACTAAACACACACGCAAACTATCATCTTCATATGTGACAAAGATTCTGTCATCGGAGTGATAATGTAGAAATGTCACAATTGCCACCATTCTATTAGGTTGGATTCAGAGTCAAAGGTGACATTTTTCAAATAGAACATCTGATTGTTTAATATTGTTGAAATGATGAGGACTCTTTGGTTTCGATTCTGAAGTCTCGCTTACGAATCGTCCTGGGGATGAATTCTATTCGGCTGAATTATGGATCAATATTCACATTCGGAGAACCATCAATGGATATCTGAAGGACTAACAGCTCCCTTCGGCCAACTCAATGTGTTTTGATAAATTCAATTTGTCCTGTGAAAGTGGTTACATTGCCATCACATATCCCACACGTTTCTAATGCAACTCAAAATATTATCCAATGTGATCCTCAGGATGATAGTCGCCACCACAGTTTTCGAGCACCCGGTGAACTCAGGTCACGCAGCTGCACCGATGTCATCGTTCTAAATAACTCGCGGTGTATGGCCGAATTGTACAAGAGGTGTAGTATTTCGATGCATGTGTACGATGAAGGCGCTAGCGACTCATCATCACTTGTGTTGGGATTGTGTGCAGAGACGACTTGTTTAGTTTTATATTCTACCATATTCCTGAACTCTTTGCAACTCTTCCACTCCTTCTTCAAGTTATTGGTTCACCACAATCCATGTTAAGTGTTCCTTTCTCCGATTTCACCGACGTTTTTCTCCACTTAACTTCTTTGCACATGTCGAGTTCACACTCAACGACTTGCTTGCTGCTCATCGAATGACAATTCCCAACTTATCAGATATCGAAGCCTTACTTACACCGCGTCGTTGTCTATTGATTCATTGGATCATTTTGTCTTCCAGATGTCTATGTAGAGATTTGGTAATGCTACATATCTTCAGAAATTCCGTCAGAGTAATTGTTTCCCTGCCGACGACTACCATTATGATCATCATGAATATCGTTCCCACTATTATAGCCGCCACCGTGACTACATTGACTATTATCACCACGAATGTGGACATTATGTTCAACATCATTATTATGATCGTCACCGTGGTCATTCCCGTTACGATAAGCAACCCTAGAAGCTCTATTATGATAAATATCGTCATGATAATAACCAATGCAATATTCATCTCGGCCGCCATAATCACAGCCGACACTATTGTTTCCATCTTTTATGGATATGATGTGTATCCATATAATATATGTGTTTTGTTTGACGTAGGTAAGTTAAAATTTTCCAAGAGAATATCCAGAGGTAGAGATGGCTGTATACTGGTAGGGATATTTTAGTTTATTGGACGCAACTGATTTTAGTGACGGGTCCATAAATCATTACCAACTTTCACGTCGTACATACCTCGACCACGTCGTGCTGCGATGGAACCTTTATTCCAGGGTTTATGTCCTGCTCGATAGTCGCGGACATAGATAGGGTCACTAACATCAAATTTGTTTTCATTCCCAAATGATGCGTCCGCACGTTTGGGTGTCGGTGGTAACATTGAGTTGTGAATCGTTCTAAGTTTGTGTCCGTAACGAATTTCTGCCGGCGATTTCTTGTTCTGTGTTGACTCATTCGCCGTTGTATGGTACCCCATCAAGAATTTTCGGATGATGTCAAATGGTGTCCCCTCTCCCTCTGCTTTGAGTAAAGCTCTCTTCAAAGCGTCGACAAAACGTTCCGCTTGGCCGTTTGACTGAGGATGATATGGCGGTGTGAACATATGTTCGATTGCATTTTGACGACAGAACTGCTGAAACTGATGAGATGTAAACTGCGAACCATTTTCTATAACTATGGTTTCTGGGAGACCATGATGGGAGAATATGTCAGTGAGTGCTTTGAGAGTCTGGGACGTTGTCGCCGAAACCATTGGTATAACTTCTGACCACTTAGAAAAAGCGTCTACCACCACTAAATAATATGAACCATTTGTAGGGCCAGCAAAATCAATATGAATTCTGGACCAAGTTCTGTATGCAACGCAGTCAACAAGAATTGGCCACCAGCATCCCATCCCCGTCGCCAAATTATTGTTATGTACTGGTCGAGTAATAAATAGTCCTGACGCAAGAAGGCGGAAATCAGAAGACCACCAGGTTCACGATTATACTTGTATTTTTCCAAACAAGGAAAATCAATGTCACACAAGTGTGTGAGTGAAATAGTATGAATGTCCGAACAAGTGTCTGAAACAAGTGTATGCGCGAATGTTCAAAAATGAACGAATCAATAGACAGTCTTAACATGATTGTTAATTATAATGGAATATCGATCCATATATACATAGCAAAATATAACAGACTGTCAAAGAAAACACACATATTATATTATATATTTGTGCAGACACATCGTACGTTTAATTTGTTTCGCGAGATGCAAATTAGTTTATGTATTGCTTTATATGGTAAATGACTGTTAGGTAATTAAACATTAATACATTTCGCTATGCGCTGCCGATGGATTGGGATGGGAGGTTGGAGACTACTCACACCATCTAGCGGAATGCACTTCACCGCATTCTACTGTAATTGGATGTTGTTTATTCTTCAACACAGTGTTGTTATTATTCACAGATTAAAAATTATCGCTCATAGAGTTTCATATTCCATAAGAAATTATAGATCTGCGATACATATTGAAGGATTCACGATTTTGACAGAAACTGACAGCGCCTTTGGCAAACGATTAGTTTTTGAGAACCTCTCTTACTATTGTGTAACTCTACGAGAAATCCTGGACGTGGTACTCGTACTTTTGTGTTAATAATACATCGTGTCTTCGTTTTTTCATAATCCTTCTCTCGCTAAATCTTATTACATGTTAAGCTGAAATGTCTTACCAAGTCGTTAAGTTTCGTGGAGCGACATATTCATCTGAGTGATGTTTCATCAGATTAGGGAAATGTTATCCGTTTTTATCTTATAAGCTTTGTTAAAACGGATGATATTCCAGAGTAGATTATTTCTTGTTAGTGTGGGAGAGATACTTGTTACTAAAGTACCCTTGTCAAGTTTCATCCTCTTCTGTGGTCTGCAGATATCTCAGTTGACTGAAGCGTTTATTTAACTGGGACTATGATGTATTCGAAAGAAAATCCTTATATTTTCACTAGTTATTTATTAGGGACCAACAAGTGCATTTTAAATCAGCCAATTTCGAACTGCATTTAATTTACACTCTTGTTCACAAACCACCAAACTTCGCTTCTGTATCCACTCAATTTAGCAATAACCAACATTTGAATTAATGTGTTTTTGATTATTTGCTTTCTCCACTTGTTCTTTTCTTTATCTATACACGCTATTTGTGTCCTTTTGTACCTAAGTGAAGTGATTTCTCAATATCAATGAAAGTGTCATTGACTGTAAGAGAAATAACAGTAGTCTATGTTTGTAAGATGCCTTTGTGGGTTGGATTTGTTAGGTGAGTATATATTTAGAATTGCTACACAATTTCACTGTAAAATCGTGTTGTTATACCTGGTTAGCGGGCAAATTAGTAAGAGTTAATCGGTAGACTACTGAATGCATTCACAAAGTTGGTTGGCGATATGAATCATATGTTACACTCATTATTATTATTACTAATGTTAGTAGCAATAGTGTAAAAATTCTTTTATTATAAGTAGTGCATTTTTCACTTGAGTTTCAAGTGGATACTGACATTTGGTGGCATATTCCTATTTCAATTTGTTCACTGTGGTCTTCCTTCCTACATTCTCTCCACAGCACGGTATCTTCAGTGTTCGCCCAATCCATCTGCATTCGCCTCTGCATATTTGTCCGGCAATAAGTTCTTGGCTTATCCCTGGTCATACACTTCTATTGCTTATCATTCCTGGTCATCGAGATTTCAGTGCCATGTGAAGACAGGTGTTGCAGGAGTGGTATTCTTTAACATCTACGATTTAGATGAAATATGAATTCAACGTAATCTGTTGTTCAATCATTTAATCAGTGGCATCAAAATCTACATTGAAACCTTTCATGAATTTGTATGAAGTTTGGCAGTAACTTTCCCATCTAACGCCACTTAATCCTTAAATCTTACAGATGTGGATATGATTGTAGTAAGTGTTTATCTAGAATTCAATTATATAAATAAGAAACAGAGAAACCCGGTTACATTTTCTCCCACATGCGGAAAGCTATTCAACAATGACGACTTAAATCATAAAGATGAATTCGATATCAGAATCTTCTATCTGATTAATATCAGGGCGTCCAGAAAACTAGTTCATAACCGGTTGGTGTACGCATGCATCAAGAGCCAAAAAGCAGTAATATTGACATATCATTATGATATCCAGTTTCATAACAGTCTTGGGAGTAATTCATAGAACATTTTAATAAATGTAAAGTTTCAATTCGAAAAGTTTGAATGTATCAGTGAACATCTATGCCCCTCTGAGAGATACACTTTTTCAAATACAGACTGATTAAAATCGCCAGGTAGATGACTGTAAGATTTTTAATATATTTTTATACATCAGATAAATTTCAAGGAAGACATTTCATTTTTTCAACCGAGTTAATGCATTTTCACTGATGACTTCATACACATTTGTTGTATAAGAGAAAAATTCAGTCATCACCCGACTGAAACTTCATGAAAGGCTAGAATGAATTACACCAAGTTCTTCAAAAGGAAAGTTAGCGTCTGTGGTTTTTCGCATAAATCAAAAAGTAAATTTCAATTTCTACCATTATTTAAATCTTCACGAAGGAACTTCTCACTCCAGATAGTATATAGTACCAGTGCTGTGAACATTAATAATCTACACCTTTCCAAAACGAGTGCTTTCTAGTCACATGAACGTGAACTAAACACTAAGAAATTGCGTCACTTGATTTATATCACTGTCACCAACCATGGATCCTGACTGTCTCCACTCAGAAAACCGAGTCATTTCAAATAATCTGGATTAAACATACCTTCGTTAACAAAAAAATTATACATTAAATTTAACAGGTCGTTTTCAAATTACCTAATCCAAGGTAAGAAGCTAAAGTGGTTGCTCTAATTACATCAATATATTCAAATTTCGAAAACTGTAATTAGTACTGAATAATTTGAATGAATGATGGAGAGATCAGCGGAATGATCAAGTCCCAAAATACAGTAACCACATATCAAAGTTTTATGCTAACATGAATACAACACCAACGAATTGAAATGTTTCACCACGTTTCTGAAAAATAAGAGTCATTGAACGATACAATCAAATGTTGAATTCAAGATCCAATAACTCTAAAAGCTAATACGAGTCTGCTTTTCAAATTTTAATATACGGTAAAAAGTGAGTGTTATGTTTTCACATCAGTTTCCATAAGCCACAGAAATACCTGTATGCATTTTGACGTTGTCAGTGTGTTATCAACAAGTGTCTTTCTCACGCATGATCACCTCCATATCATCAAAAGGGATGCATTGTACTCGTTGCTCCCCAGGTTTTACTCTTGGTTCAGTGAGGCGTACGGCGTTCATTGGTCTGCTATGCACATTCTCAGTGCTACCGGAGGAATTCTCTATGGTGGTCTCGCTGCCCCTCTCTCTTACCATCAGTGCTTCTGGTCTCTTCTGACGTTTGGTGTTCATTGGCAGCCCTCCGTCTGATAGTGGCATTTCCTGATAAGTTGCAGGTGATGTTCATGTTTAAATTTTCGTATATATATATATATAGGAGACTGAATAGGTAAATAAAATAAGTGACTCGTTACACATTTCACCCATTCATTGAGATCAAAGCTTGTTATGGTAGTTGGTTAGATGTCTTCATCACATCCGTCTTTTCTACACTCACTTGGAGTGAAGCATTCACTGCCTGTCTCTTCTACAATCTAGTTTTTTTTCGGCTCTAGATCTTCTAGCTGATGTGAAATTATGCCTGAATAACACGTCAAGTCCTGATCTTTCCATCGGTCTAGTGTATACCCGTGTTGTCAGTCAGTTGTCACTGGAATATCTTGTTTAAATTAAAAACCAAGTTATTTTAATGATAACACAATGACAATGTGAGCATTCATATATGCATTTGTGTAGATCACAGAGACTAATGTGAAGAGACGACACCATCAACTTTAACGGTATATTAAAATTAGAATATCAGATTTGTATTAACCCTTTGGCGTAACTGGAACTTCAAATCAACATTTGACTGTGGCG